CCCTGCCCCCTCCCACCCTTTTAAGCCCTCATCACTCTGGCCTCCCATACTCCCCTTCACAGAGCCTCACCAGGCCACCATTATTGCTTGGGCAGTCTTTGTTTCTCGGCCCTCCCGCCGACTGAGGTTCCTTGCCGCTCTCACCACTTCCTCCTTTGTTCGGAAATCTCCTAGGGACCACTCATGTACAGGGCTCTCCCCGTACTGCACCAATCCCACCTGAGAATAGAGTATACACTCAAGTGGAATGTGTTTTTAGGGGTGAGTAGAGGAGGGAGAAGAAAGTAGGTGAGAGAGAGGAGATTAGTGCCTGGATATTACTGAAAACACCACACACACACACTTATCTCCTCTCTCTGACTCTCCCCACTCAAATCCATCCATACTACTTTTTCCTTACCTGTATCTGTTCTGGATCAATAAACAGTCTCCCTACCAGTCTTCGCAGGAAAGTCTGAACTTCAGACCAGGGGTAGATGCTGTTGGAGCCATCTAAGACGATGACAACATCCATGTATGTGGGGCAGCCTAGAGGAGGGGTATGGTGATAGGGAGCAAAGAGGTAGAAGAATATTGGGCAGGGGACAACAAGGGAAAGTGGTCACAGGAGAGCACATTCAATTCCAACACTTATTAGGCACTTGTTACATGTGAGGAAGGCACTGTGTCAGACCTGGGTGCATGTAGGTAGGAATAAAAGAGGAGTGAGGTGTGATCAGATACAATTTATGACTGAAAAGCAAAGTTAAGTGCTAGGTAGAAACAGCACCATTCTGTGCTACGGAAGGATGAAAGAGTTCTGATGTGAGACTCACAGGAGGCAGCAACTAAGAAGACAGTGAAGAAAAGATATTTGAGGAGAGGAGGATATTTTTAAAAAGACATTGGATAGAAAACATTTTGAAAAGGGAGATGGAGGTATGAACACAGACACATAGAACAGTGAGGTAATTGTTATGGCCAAAGCTCAGGGTATGTGGAGAGAGAACTCAAGTTTCTGGAGTTGGTTAGATCAGATCCTGGAGTCTTGATGCCTTGGTAAGGAGTCTGAGTTCTAGTCTATTTGAAAACATGGAGCTTTTGCAAGCACATGAGGTAGCAATGAGGGGAGCCATGCAGGAGTTATGCCCTTTGTCCCTTCTTTTTCCAACCCAGAACCCTCTTCTGGGAACTGTCCCCAGCCCTTCTTCTGGCTCACGTTGGGCAGTGGGTGCCAGGCTTCCCTGTGGCTGGAATGAAGCATCCACATGTGCACATATCCCAGAACTGAAGACGGAGCTGCCACAAGCACGAGACCAGAGAGGGGCACAGGCCTGGGGAGTGGGGGAAAGGAATAGTTACTCCCAGGCATGGAAGGGCACCCTCAGAAGCTCCTAGTCAAGGGAACCAGCAGTTAGTGTAATGGCTATGTTGCTAGACTCCCACGTATTCGACCGTAGTTCACGTCCCAGACCCGGTGGCTTAAAACTCATGCCGGGCGCGTATGCGTGCATGCCCAAAACCCAGAGAGGAGAATAGAGGAGAAGGGATTGCAGCGTGACCATCCCCCCCGGGGGGTGATTTCTCGCTTTCTGTCTCTATGTCTCTCTCTCTCTGTCTGGCAAGAGCACGCACCCTATAGCAAAAACCTCTCAAAAAAAAAAAAAAAAAGAAGCTCTGAGTCAAAGGAGGTACTGAGACCACTCCCTAAAATCTCCTACCTTGCTTTCTAAGTTTTATTTTTTTTTAACTCTTTGACAACTCTACATCAACAAACACCCCTTATCATACTGCTCTTTCCTCTGCCATGAACCTGCCATCGCCATTCCCCTAGCTCACCATGAATCCCCCATCACCATCTGTCTCTAGCAGAGACATCCCCAGGTGCATATTCACAGCAGGACGAGATGAATTTCCCAGTTGATAGTCTCCTGGTTTGAAAGAGATGGAAGAGAATGAGATCACAGGGTCACAGTGGGGTGCTTGAGTTCAGGGTATTTTGAAAGGAAATGAGGATCAACTTGATCAGGATAAAGTTGGGGACAGGAAGCATATGGGTCATAGGGATGAAGAAGTTGAGGTGTAAGGGGCCACAGCTACTAGGTATCGAGGTCAGGAGTCAGGAAGGGAAGGGTCAGGCATCTTCTTACCCAAGTGGCCCTTGGCACATGGGGCATTGTTGGGCCCCCCTACAGGGCAGCGGTAAACGTCCCCCCTCCGGTCGCCTGAAGGCCCATCCCATGGGGCACCCACCAGCATCCTGGAGGAGGACGTGAATATAAGCGTAAGGGTGAGCATGACCCTTGACAAAGGCCAGAGAGAAAGTGCATGGAAGTGGCAAGTTTAGAGACATTTTCAAAAGATGAGATTAGACTGGAGTCCCATCTATCTTGTCTCTCTTTTATCAAGATCACACCCATGGTTCCCTGGTATCCTCACCATCGCTGTCCACCCCCAACATGTTGTAAGACGCTGTATCCAAATTCAGTCTCAGGTGGCCCTGGGAATAGGCGTGGACGATGCACATCCAGGTTGAAGGGGGAGCAGAGTTCTGGGGGCCAGGATCATAAGGTTAGCCAGAAGTGATCAGAGTCAGAATGACCAGAGGTGCACAGCCAGAGAGAAGTCATGAGGGAATGTCTTAGTCTCAATCTATCTGTCTGTTTCTTACTCATAAACTCTTCTGGTTCTTGTCAATGTCATGTACTCAGAGCCCCAAGCAAGGATGATCCCCTCCTGTGTTTGTATCCAGATGTTGAATCTGTAGCCCTTAGCCACAAAGATGCACAGCTGGATTTCCATCCCTATCCATGAAATCACATTCACAGATATGTCTGGAAAGGCCAAGTTACTGTTTTCTACATCATTCCTCCTACACATCCTCTTCCCCAAATTGCAATGGTCAAAAGATGGAAGGGGGCCTTTCTGCAGCCCCAGAACAACTATTCTATCCAAATCCTCCCCAAACCCAAAACCACAGAGAACGAGAAGAGGCTAAGGAGCACTGTGTCTGGATCTCTCCTTCTCTCTTCTTGACTCCCAGTATCATTGTCACGCTCTCGCTCTCTCCAATGCCTAGGTCCCTTGCTGATTCTAGCCTTGGAAACCTCAGTGGTAATTAGCTGGGTGGGGACACTCGCCTGCCCACACACATAGTTTGCCATCCATCTTCGCCAAGGATCCCATCACCCCAAAGTTTCCCACAACCCATTTCCTTTTAACTCATCTACCCTCCCAACTGCACCCCCCTTACATCCATGGTCTCCTCAAACTTCAGCCTACTCTACAGACCCCCAATCATGGCCCAGATGATTCTTCCTTTCTCACCCCAATCCCTTTAAAATCAGAGCTGATATTTTAGGAAACAAAGATTACAGGGCACTGGCATGAAAAAATTCCAGGCCTCTTGTCCCTCCCATGGCTTTTTCCCCAGCTGCATCTTGCTCCTTACTTCTATACAATCCTCTCCAGGTTACCCCCACCACCACCACTCCCAAGGGCTACAGCTCTATTGCAAACCATGCTCATTTTCAGAAAGGTGTTATATATGTAAGCCTTTTTACATCCAGAAAACTGTATAAGTAGGAACTGTAGTTTGTTGGCTAGATAAATGCAGAGTTCTGACCACAGAGTCAGTCAGTTAAGTCTCAGGTCTCAAGGAACACCAGGGTAGGGAGGGGGATAATAAGAATCAGACGTGGAAGGTCACATCCTGTTTCTTCCAGCAACTGTAGGAGTTAGTCTACTCACTCATACAAGGATTAGGATAAAGGTTTTGGATAACTAGATATAAATTTTACAGAAGGACCTATGCGGCTTTCAGCCCCTGCCAGTCTTGATACTGAAATTTTATGTGGAGGTATAAGAACGCACATGTCCACATACGCACGAGCACACACACACAATGTAGAACCAGTGTTAACCTCCTGCCCTAACTCCCTAAGGGCCCCAATTCCAAACAATTCGTTTACCTTCCACTCCCACCAGAAACCAAGAAGTTAACCTCCCTCACCTGTCAGGAACATCAGGAGCAAGAACAAGTGAGGCATGAATGGGAGCTCCATGCCTGATCGTTCTCTGTCCTGTAAGAGAGGTCCTCTGTGCCTCTGTCACTCTCTTTTTCTGTTTTCTTTACTTTCCCTCCCATCCTGCCCCCTCCCACTGGCAGCTAAAAATAAAATTGGAAGGAATGGGAGGAGTGATGGTGGGGAGCTGTGGGGAGCTCCACAGCAAGGAAAAGAGGACTGAGCAATCTCGGTCTAGTTCTCTGCCTTGCTGCTGCCCCCTAGAGGCCTCATCACAATATCCAAAGAGAACACAACTTTTGATCTACAATACCTTCCCTCAGGTTTGGAATAAAAGGTAGGAGTGGGAGATACATCTTTTTTACTCCCTAGTCTTATTTATGTCAACGTGTATATGGAACATCGAGAAGCTGACAAAAATGGTATGATGTCCTTACCCCCACCTCCAGGAGTATCCCAACATATGAAAACACAGCCCCCAAACTAAGTCTTATTAGCCCCACTACACTTAGTTCTGTTCATGGCTTTTAGTCTATTCTGCCTTGTGGCATTATAGTTTTTGGAGGAACTATAGCTATAAACTAGGATACGGTGCTTTTTATGGGGCCAGAATAATTACTGTAGCATTAACCACCCTCCCACCCCTCTCTTTAACTTGGCTATAAACTGCTTGAAGTTAGGGCTAGGGAGCTTCTTAGCTTCTGTATGTCCATTACCTAGTATTTTGCCCTGCACACTGGAGACATTCAATAATAATCCGTGGGTGATGATGCTAGTGGCCAATTCCATGGAAAATCCAAACTACGGTGATAAAAATGAGAGCCTCAGGGCCAGCAGGTGGCGTAATGGTTGAGGTTCTGGACTCTCACATGGTTGACTGCAGTTTGCATCCCAGACCTGGAGGCTTCCTTTCTCTCTCTTTCTCTCTCGTGAGCACACGTGCCCTATAGCAAATTAAAAAATAAGTAAAATTAAATAAATATTTTATAAAAAAAAAAGAAAAATGATACAGGAGCCTCAAATGATAAGAACATGAGGGACCAGACCAAATATCGATGAACAAACTGATCTTTAATTTGCTGACCTGGAAGGCTTGCTCTCCATTTGGGCATGGATCCCAGCTATTTACACAAAATCATTGTACAATATTTACAGCAAGATGCTGAACACAGCATCATTTTGGATAGGCAAAGAAGGGGTAAGAAAAGGCTAGGGGACAAAGCTCTGAAATCAAAGTGTAAACAGAAATCTGAAGATATGGGTACAGATAAGGGCCAAATCATGAAGCAGGCTGGTGAGGTAGATGTGAGGGAAGAAGAGGAAGCATCAAACAACCTATGGTGCAGAAATATGAGGGGAGTGGCCCTTGGGATAGAAAGGCTTACAAATTATGATTTAAAATTTGAAGAAAGAAAAAATATGCCAAAAGCCACTTCTGTGAGAAAAAGGATGAAGGCAGTTCGAACATTATAGACCAAACCTTATACCTCCCCTATCAAAAAAAAATTCTGTTAAGTTTCTGAAAAGGGAGAACGTAAAAAAGAGAAATGCATACAGACAGAATCTTAAATAGATGTAAGAAAGAGAACGTAAAGAATCGAGAGAGAGACAGACAATTAAAGAGGAAAAAAAAAAGCTCAGGCATATCTGGTTATTAGAATCATTCTATCAACTTCACAAGTTACCTTTCCTCACCTCATGTTCCCCAAAGCTCTTTCACTCCTAAATCTCTGGATTTTAACTTTAACCAAGGAGTAGAATTAAAATGTGGCTGGTACATGGGGGACAATCTAAGGTTCCAAATCACCAATTCAGGTCCCCTCCTTATCTGTACCAGACTGTCAGGGTTTGAGTCGTAGCCAGGGACAGATTAGGGTGAGAATAGATAAGATGGAGGACACAAGGCCACAAAGCCCCACGATCCCTGGGCCACAGCGCCAGAGGCCTAATTTGTCCAATGGAATGAAGAGATCACAGGCATTTCTGACCACATCCAGCAGAAGTGGGGGATGACCTCGAAGGACCCGAGCCAGAAGCAGGACTCGGAGCCGAAGCTTCAGAACCAGTTGGGGCAGGCTTCCTCCTGGAGTCCCTGGACCCCCAGGTCCCCCAGTTTCAATTCCTCCTGGGACTCCTCCTCCAGAACCCTTCAGCCGCCGGCTACAAGCTGAAGATTCTTGTTCCATCAGTAGGCGAATCTCATAAGCATCACGGCTCAAATTCATGATGAGGGAAAATAGATAGTACCTGAGATACACAGGGCAAAAGAGTCAGAGAGGGCATGTACACCACTTATCATATCCAACATAATATTTTAATATCTTCTTTTCCCATAGCACAAAGGGATTGATTAGGTTGGAACACCAGAAGTAAATGATACTAGGAATGTTCTCCCTTGCGGACATTCTGCTAAGGAAATAAATCAGACACAGAAAGACAATACTGCATGATCTCACTTTATAGATTTTAAAGTAGTCTACGTCATAGAAGCACAGAATAGACATGAGAATGTACTGTTCTTTATTGAAAATTATATATATGGCAATACCCTTAATTTGATTATCATACACTGCATGCAGCATTCTTTGAAAAGCCATATTGTATGCCATAAAGATGTACAATTAAGGGAACCAGCAGTTAGTGTAATGGCTATGTTGCTGGATTCCCACGTAGTCGACCGCGGTTCGCGTCCTGGACCCAGTGGCTTGAAACTCACGCCGGGCGCGTGTGCGTGTGTGCCCAGGATCCTGAGAGGAGAATGGAGAAGGGATTGCGGCGTGACCATCCCCTCTGGGGGGTGATTTCTCACTTCCTGTCTCTCTGTCACTCTCTGTCCATCTGGCGAGCGCACGCGCCCTATAGCAAAAACCTCTCCAAAAAAAAAAAAAAAAAAAGATGTACAATTAAATGTAAACGTGAAACTACAAAATTAAATTTTTTTAATTTTTAAAAGAAACTTTTTTTTTAGTTTTGCTGTAGTTTCCTATAGTTTTACTATGGGGCGTGTGAACTCACTGGAGAGAGGGAGAGGGGAAGAAAGAGAGAAAAAAGTGAGAAAACACCTCCTCCCACCTCAGGGGCATGGCCCTCTCCTCCATTCTCCTCTGTGGATTTTGGGCATGCACACACACATGCCTAGTGTGATTTTATTTTTTTAAAGAATTATTTATTTATTTATTTACTTAATTCTATTTGTTATTATTTTTAAATTTGATCAGAGAGAGACAGAGAAAGAAAGGGAAAGCAAGCCGCCAAGTCCAGGACTCAAACCAGAGTCGGCCACATGGGAATCCAGCACCCCAAACCACCACGCCACCTGCCAGCCCCACCTAGAATGATTTTCAAGCCGCTGAGTATGGGACTCAAACCATGCAGCCAGCTACATGGGATTCAGTCGCCCCAGCCACCACACCAACTGGCCCAAGAAGCAATAAAAGAGAAGAAGAAGAAAAGAAGAATAAGTGTTTTCAGGAGTGGGGAGGTGGGGGCAATGGGAAGAAGTTGTCAAAGGCCACTTTGGGAGATCTAATGTACAGTACGGCAACTATAATCAACAATACTGTTGTATTGTTGTATCATATACTTGGAATTTGCTAAGGGATAGACGTTAAATGTTCTCATCATTGAAAAAATGGTAATTGTGTGAGGTGAAGGATGTGTTAACTAGCTGTGGTGATCATTTTACAATGTGCACATATAAAATATTAAGCTGCATAGCTTAGCTCAAGTAGTCTGAAGTGACTGCTAAGATACTATACTCCAGGCCAAAAGGTGGCATGGAGGTTAAGGTGTCGGATCTCACATTGCCAACTCTGCAGTTTTAAGTCCCAGAATTGGTGGCTTGAAAAATCAATGCCCAGTATTTGTGTATCCCAAATTCTGAGAGAATGGAAGAGAAGGGACTCTCTATAGTGAGTACATGTACAATATGGCAAAAATAAGACAATGTCCTACACAGGCTTGACCACATGGGAGGCCCAGGTTTGATTTCCAGTTCAACCTAAAGAGAGGGTGTGGTGGCATGCACCTGTAATTCCAACAATTTGGGAGACTGAGATAGGAGAATTGCTAGCTCTAGGCTGGTCTGGGCAACACAGCAAGATCTTATTTGAAAAAGCTGGGTGTGGTAGAGTGTGCCTATGATCACAGCCACCTGGGAGCCTGAGGTAGGAAAATTATAATACTATGAGACTCTACCTTAAAAATAAACAAATAGGGGCCAGCAGGTGGCATGGTGGCTGAGGCACTGGACTCCTATATGGCCAACTGTGGTTTGAGTTTTAGACCTGGTAGCTTGCTTTCTTTCTCTCTCTGGTCAAATTAAATAAATAATTATTTAAAATAAACAAACAGGGGGTGAGCGCTGCTTCCTTTCTGTCCGACATCTTAGTGAGGCTGTGGTTGCCGCAGCTGCTCTCCTGGCTTCGCGATGCTGCCCAAGGACGACAAGAAGAAGAAAGACGCCAGAAAGTCGGCCAAGAAGGACAAAGACCCAGTGAACAAATCTGGGGGCAAGGCCAAAAAGAAGAAGTGGTCCAAAGGCAAAGTTCGGGACAAGCTCAATAACCTGGTCTTGTTTGACAAAGCTACATATCACAAACTCTGCAAGGAAGTTCCCAACTATAAGCTCATAACCCCAGCTGTGGTTTCTGAGAGGCTGAAGATCCGTGGTTCTCTGGCCAGGGCAGCACTTCAGGAGCTGCTTAGTAAAGGACTTATCAAACTAGTTTCAAAGCACAGAGCGCAAGTAATTTACACCAGAAATACCAAGGGTGGAGATGCCCCAGCTGCTTGTCAAGATGCATAAACAGGCACAACCAACTGTACATTTGGAAAAATAAAATTTATTAAACCAAAAATAAATAAATAAATAAACAAATAGGAGCCAGCAGATGGGGTTATATCACTGGACTCCTACATGGTCCACTACAATTCAAGTTCTGGACTTGGTGGCTTAAAACTTAAGCTGGGCACGTGTGTGTGAGTGCCCAAGATCCCGGGAGGAGAATGGAGGAGAAGGGATTGTGATGTGGCTATCCCCCCAGGGGGTGATTTCTCACTTTCCTTCTGTCTGTGTCAGGTGAGTGTACACACCCTATGGCAAACAAGGGCCAGTCTGTGACCTGTGGTTATGTGAGCTGGATCTCTCATGCCAGCAGCATGTTTCAAATCCTGGATCTGAGAAATACACTGAGTGAACGTATGTGCGTGTCCAAAATCCCAAAAGAAGAGAGAAATGGAGGAGAAGGGATTGAGACATGATCATTCCCCATGGAGGATGCTTCTTTGCTTTCCCTCTCTCAATTCTATCTCTCTCTGTAAGTGCATGCAAAATTAAAACAAACAAAATTCAAACTATATACCATAAATATATACAATTTCTATTTGTTCATTATATTGCAATAAAAAAATTTTACGGGCCAGTCGGTGGCATAGTGGTTATGGCCAACTGTGCAGTTTCACTCTCAGACTGAGGGCTGAAAAATATGCCAGAGGGAACCAGCAGTTAGCGTAATGGCTATGTCGCTGGACTCCCACGTAGTCGACCGCGGTTCATGTCCCGGACCCGGTGGCTTAAAACTCACGCCGGGTGCCCACTGTGAACACTTTCAAAATGTAGTTTCACTCTTTTACCAAGTAAAAGTATTACTTAAAAAAAAATAGACTAGGGAACAGCAGATGGTTGTGTTGGTTATGTTGCTGGATCCCCATGTAGTCAGTGTGGTTCAAATCCTGGACCTGGCGACTTGAAACTCACACTGGGAACATGTATGCGTGCCCAAAATCTCAAGAGAAGAATGGAGGAGAAGGGACTGCAGCATAGCCATTCCTCCTAAGGGGTGATTTCTCACTTTCTGTCTCTCCGTCTCTCCAGTGAGCTCATCCTGTAACAATTCTTTTTTAAAAAAATAGTTGACAGAAAAATGGATTTAAAGACATTTCTGATAATTATGTTCACTTTTCAAAAATAAAATTCTTATTTTTTTTTTCTGGAGAGGTTTTTGCTATAGGGTATGTGCGCTCGACAGAAAGACAGAGAGAGACAGAAAGCGAGAAATTACCCCAGGGGGGATGGCCACGCTGCAATCCCTTCTCCTCCGTTCTCCTCTCAGGATCTTGGGGATGCACACGCATGCGCCCGGCATGAATTTAAGCCACCAGGTCTGGGATGTGAACCACAGTCAACTACATGGGAGTCCACCAACATAGCCATTACGCTAACTGCTAGTCCCCAAAAATAAAATTCTTAAAAGTAATCAAAACCTGGGGCCAGCAGTTAGCGTAATGGCTATGTTGCTGGATTCCCACGTAGTCGACAGCGGTTTGAGTCCTGGACTTGGTGGCTTAAACTCACGTTGGGCGCATGTGTGTGCATGCCCAAGATCCAGAGAGGAGAACGGAGGAGAGGGGATTGCGGTGTGGCCCTCCTGGGGGGTGATTTCTCGCTTTCTGACTCTCTCTGTCTGTCTGGCAAGCGCACGTGCCCTATAGCAAAAAAGAAAAAAAACCTCTCCAAAAAAAGAAAAAAAAAGTAATCAAAACCTGACAGACATTATAAGAAAACTATAGAGGATTTCAAAAAGCTTATGAAAATTAAAGCACTACTTTAATTTGGTGTGATTTTTGAAATTCATGCACAGCTTTTTTTTTTTTTTTTTTTTTTTTGAAAGTTTTTTCCTTTTGGGCGTGCGCTCGCCAGACAGACAGAGAGAGACATAGAGACAGAAAGCGAGAAATCACCCCCCAGGGGGGATGGTCACGCCGCAATCCCTTCTCCTCCATTCTCCTCTCGGGATCTTGGGCACGCATGCACACGCGCCCGGCGTGAGTTTTAAGCCACCCGGTCCGGGACACGAACCGCGGTCGACTACGTGGGAATCCAGCGACATAGCCATTACGCTAACTGCTGGTTCCCAATGCACAGCTTTTTCAAACCACTGGGCCTGGACTTTAGTTACGTGGAATCCATCCACTTTAACCACACCACCAGTTTGCCCTAAAGCCTTTTCTTTTTGTTAGAGGGAGGATACGTGTGCTTTCAAGGGGGAGGGGGAGAGAGAGAGAGAGAAAAGAAAAGTAAGAAAGTACTCCCTACAGGGGAAAACCATGCCACACTCCCTTTTCCCCTATTAGGTTGTTGAGAAAGCCATGGTGCATTTTTGCATAGAAAAACACAGCAAAATAAATGACTTTCGAGACAACCTAATATTTCTCTCCTTGGGATTTTGAGCATACAGGCACACACCCCAAGTGTGTGTGTGTGTGTGTGTGTGTGTGTGTGTGGGGTTTTTTTTTGGGGGGGGGGG